TTAATGCGTATTTCACCTAAACCACATTATATTGTTTTTGTAAGAAAAATGTGTCGTCATACTCCTGGTGCTACAATCTGTTGTACACGCACCAGTAAGGTGGATTTGTTTTGGGTTTTTCTGAAATGGGAGTTGAGAATAGATATTGTTGTGTTACATTGCCAGGCGGCATAAACAGCAATTTGAACCAAGTTTATTTTCAGATCTCAGCGTCACTAAATCTGGTACAGTAAATGAACTTGAGACCTGGGAAAATGCAGCTGAGAGCACAGATTACTTTCTCTAATAGCTATTCAAAAGCACTTGATTGCTTAATGATATTTCAGCTCAAGAGTCAAACATTGCTTCATACATAAGCAAAAATAGTTTTATATACCCATATGAGAGCATTTCTTTTCTTTTTAAACAAGCAAACCACTCACCGTTCTGCAGCCATGGTTCCTCAGACTTCCTCTATCACCACACAAACGCATTCCTTAGAAGCCAGCTCTTGCATTCAGCCAAGTGGATCCTTCCTCAAGTGTTTTGGACTACAGGACGCTAGGATTTCATTATAGAGGACTTGGGGGCAGGGGGAGGGAGGAAATGAAAAAAAAAGGGCTTTTATGCAGATGATCTCCAAGTTTCTTCATCTTCCCTTACTTACTTGTGTATGTGATTTTCAGGATCCCATCAGCTTTTACCAATTAATTTACAACAACAACAACAACAAAGATTCACGTTCCTTTTTTCCCCATTTCAGACATATCAAGATCCCTCCTGGTTGCACTGCTATAGGGAAGAGCGAATGGGAACAAGCAGTTTTTAAGCTGGCTACTGCCAAGAAAGGCCTACTGAATTGTACAGTCAAGGTGTCTGCCAAAGGCACTGCACTTCTGTTACAAGGTTTTGGACTCCACAAATCAGTAAAATGGTCATGGTGAGGAAATCACTAAACAGACCAAAAATTAAAATCAAAGTTGTTCAAAATTGACTGATCTAAATTTTACAGTAATCAAAAAGAAGAATAATTTGGTCTAGCACTACCATTCTCAAATGCGCAAATAACAGCCACCTTTTGGCTCTTGCATTCCTATTTCAAGTAGATACTTGACACAAACTTTCGGCTTGTAAAGACCTGATAAGGTCATCTGAATTTTAATTCTTGTGTTACTCAGAGCATCGTCCACCAAGTAACTTGTATAGGATTCTTGGTATTAGGCAATTTCTCTGGAATCACCTCTTAACACCCCAATAACCAACCTTTGAAGATTAGTTAATTAGACTCAGAACAAATTACTATGGGGAAGAGCCCAATAACTTTGGTACAGGAATATCTACAACCATGAAGTAATTAAGCACTATGAGAACTGCAAAGCTGTTTTCAACTCATACATGAAACCATGAATACGTATCTATCAACTGATGGTAAATGACTCATGGAAATACAGGCAAGACAAATTTACATTTAAGTTACTGCACCTGGAAAACATTTTTGAGGAAAACTTGTGGAAATGCTACAAATTAGCTAGAAAATAAAGCTCTCAAATTCTGCACTTTCAAGACGAACAGTTTCAAGACACGGTAGATTTGATTCTTCAAAAACTATTTTGCATCATTAAGCAAAAGAATCAAGTTCTAGGAGTCAGCAGAATAAATAATCACTACGTTTTTCACTTCAACAGTAATTAAATGTTCTTTTTTGTTACAGGCCCTATATAGGTAAATATATTCCCTTCTTGAATAAGTGCATAGTTTGTAATATCCTATAGCTTTTACTCTTCAGGAAATAAATTTGGAGTCACGTGTTCAGTTTTAACATCTGTCGTGAGTTTTAACATCCATCAAGATGTCGAATGGCTGGCTGCTTTTATTTGCAATGCATTTTCAAGATGACACTACTTCCCAACCAGTTGCTCACTTTACATTTAGGATGCATTCATGGTAACTCCAGATGTAAAATGGGAAAGGTCCATTTTGAAAGTACATAAAAGAGTTGCCACCAGCCACTGGACTACTCTTTTCTAAAGATTAAGTTCTAGGAAAAAAAGTTTATTGTAAATATTTAAAACCTGAGCTGTAAGTTCTGAGGAAGCTGTACAGAAAATGGAGGCTAGTAAACGGAATCATGTCCATGATTCAGGAAGATTTCTTGACATTTCAGCTTCTTTTCTGCCATGAGGTAGAAGACTGACAAAAAACATAATAAGTAATACACATCTTTTAACTATAAACACCATTTGAACTATTCTTTAAGAAAAAAAAAAAAAAAAAACAAAAAACAAAAACTTTACCAAATCAAGCTAATGTCAAACAGCAAGATATATAACGATTTCAGCTTATTTATCTATTTCAGACAGTCTTTGGTAGACTACCAGCGGCAAGACTACAAGAGTAGCCTGCGCTCCCCACACACAGTGCTATGAAGGAAAAACAGGTTAAGTGTCAAGAATGGTGATAAACTGCAGTAGTTAGATAAACATTTATTTTTCATATATTCACAAAATCTTCACAAAAGTATCGAAACTCAAAAGGGAATTAGACTTGAGTCAAATACAGAGATGAAATGTACAAGACAAATGAGCAGGCAAACTAAAAGGTCTTGAAAGTATTTTACTTCAGATTGAAAAACGAACAGTTCAACTGTTCTGTTTAAATAAAGATTTGCAAGATATACAGTATTTTATGAATACAATGCTGGTCACTTGAGGCAATGTAAAATACCTCAATTTTTCCTTCATGCTTTTTTTTTTTTTCCTTTTTTTTTTCCTTTTTTTTTTTTCTTTTAGAAAGATACTGTTTACCAAAAAGAAACTTGAGCAGTCCAGGAAAAGCTATTTTCCATTAAATTTATGAAAACCATAAATTGAGGCAAACCTAAGATTCCCAATGGAATCAAGATTATCTTCCCGCTACCACCACCTTAAAATTATCACATGCTTATTGGAACACTAATATCTGCACCCTAAGAGTACATTTGCTTTTAACGATGAGGGTGATTCTTTTAAAACACCTCAGTGTGGTAAATGCAATACAGATCTTTGCAAGTATTAAGTTTTGGAACAGTTTTGCTAATAGCAGCTAACAATACTGGATTAATGTAATTTACAAATAATTGTTCCCTAAGTGGTGAACATAGGCCTACACATTCACAAGAATCTAAACCAAAATAAATACTGTGATTATGTGTAATGTGGTACAACTTTACTAGATCCTATAAACAAAAGCTCAGCATCTGGTGGATAAAATCATCTGATCAAATTATGAATCTAAAAATTAAAAGAAAAAAACAACCATTGTCAAATTAACATCACTTAAGCTTAGTGTTTGAGTAAGTGTTATGAATTGGTTTTGAATATATGTATTTTCCTTTTTGAAGTAAAACACTTTAACACATTGAAAACGTTTATTAATTTAAGTGACAACATCAGTTCTGGTCTTATTTTAGCATTACGTTACTTTAAAACCACTGCACTCATTAGTGCCCATTAAAGGTAAGGTTGGTTTGTAGTATTCTGTAAATGTGTATTAAAGGAAGTTTCTAAAAGCTAATAGTACATTTTATGACAGCATCATCTCCAGAACAGCTGCATTAAATACAGCCACATGTGCTGAGTGCAGACCTTCCTCCTTAAAGAAGTATGTGAAAGTAAATGCCACTTAACTTCCCTGCACTGAAGTGTCCCAGCTCCTGTCCCAAGCTATGCCTGTGTGTGAGGGTAATTACACATTTCATTCGCATTCATGGCATCAGTTACTGCAACCTAGATGTGTAACGCAACTGAACCGGACAAACGCTGTTGAAATTAAATAACTAGCTCAAGAAGAACTACTATGAGATACGAAAGATTTGGGTCTTTAAGGCAGTACAAAATATACTTTATTATTCGAAGTCATTTTGGTTTTTTAAATAATTAAGTGTAAATATAAAAATGTCTAAGAGGGAGTGAGAAAAAATACTTTAATTGTGAAATTTACTTAAAGCTTCAACAGTAATCATATCCTACAGGAATTAGCAAAAATATAAAAGACAAAAAAATCCAGATGTGGAAAGGGGAGGGAAGGCACAAACAAAGAGGCATGGGATCAAAGCAGCCTAGGAATGCAAACATCTGTAACAAATCGAGTTCTGTCATTTGTGGGGGTTTTTTAAAACAAACAAACAAAAACAAAATAAACCACCATCAACAATCAAACAACCCTCCCCTCCCCCCAAGAGGCTTTATATTTCTTAAGAAAAGGAAAGGACTGGGGAGAGATCACTAAAGGGAGGAAGGGAAGGATGTAACTATAAAACCCTGAAATGATGGCACTCTAGAAACAAGGTGAAGGTTACTTCTCTGAGATGACAAGCTCACTGTCTACACAAAGGTACATGTACACTTTATACAAATGAAAAACTTCATTTGCCATCATAAGCCTTTCTTGCAGAAGAACAGCTTTTGCAGATCAAATGTTCTATTAAATCTTTTAAATGCCAAGAAAAGAAATTCTGAGCAATATAACTAGTAATGTCTCTTTACACGGATGTTAAGATGACAATTCAGATTATTTTCCAAACTAATCCTGAGAAAAATTCATGTTTACAATTTAAACAGTAATGTTATGTAAAAAGTATTAACAAATCCACTATTACAAATGTCAGTTTTCTATATGGTCATCTATATATACACAATAAAATGGTAAGTATATGCAAAAATAATAAAAAAAATCATGCACAAATTACTTCCACCTTTAAAGGCTGGGATTCCCTCAGAATAAAATTTTTTGCTTTTTTTTTTTGCCTATTTTTGTGTTTTATTTGTTTGTTACCACCCCCTAGACACACTGAGTACTACCTCTACAGGTCAGCATGAGCTGATGGGAAATACATTTATTTTACATTCAAGCTTTTATATCCTAAATGACCCTGTTGTAGCATATGACTTATCAAATGAGCAGCCTTTTCCTCTTTTTTATATGTTTTTCTTTTAAATTTTTTTCCTTTTTTTTTTTTTCTTTTTTTTTTTTCTTTTTTTACATTTTTTGCAGTGATCAATCTTCATGATCCGTTCCGTGGCGAGCTGGGAAAAAAAAATGCAGTTGCTAATCAATGTCTGAACAGTCTGAAGCTCTGGAAGAGATCCAAGGAGTCACTATCAAACTATCCTGTAGCATGAGATCATTGCACACAGAAGAACAGTCATAAAATAGGCAACTATCTACAAAGGTCTGAAAGGGCCGCATCCCTCTTGTGTTTCCTCTTTTTGCCGTGGAAGAACTGATGGTGCGATTTGCTGCCTTGATGTTGTTTGTTTGTGACTGAGGTACTGTGGCTTGAGTTTGTTGGACCTTGGAAGCCTTTGTTAGAAGAGCGAAATAACCGTGCAGATCCATGCTGTGAAAGAAAGAGAACATGGTAAATCAGTGCTTAAAGGAAAAGAGTGTGGCAACTATACAACCCTATTTCAGGATAACAAGGACTTTAACTCATGAAAGCATTACACTTGAAACAACTTGTATGGGAAGACAAGCCAGGCCATTGCTTAGACAGCAGCACAGTACCACGAATCTTTCACTTTGGTGGCTGCAAACAGATGTTCATCCCTAAACCCAGCACCGTGCAGGTCAAGAGAGGAGAGCAGAGTACTGTGAACTTTGAAAAGGACGGACCTGTTTTATTGCTCCCATTTTGCAACGATCCAAAAACTGTTTTACAGAAGCCGAAGATCATAATCCAAGACGACAGATGAAGAGTGCTGAAATATCATCTTCTGTGCAAAATTAAGACCAGATTCTTTCAAGGCCAGGGCTAATTTTATACCACATCTTTTTACAGATGTAGAGTATCTCTGATCGTGCATTTTCACATTCCAGCACCAGAATTAGCTCTGTGTAGTCACACAAACACACATTCATGGTATATCCAATGTCGAGTTTGTAAACTTGGTGCTAGCTAGATTGTCAGCAAGTAGGAAGAAAGCTTCCAGCGTTACTTTTCAGAATTAATATTCCAGAAGATTCCAGACTATTTCCCATGTATTAAAGTCCTAAATTCTGAAAAAGTATAAAAATTTAAACTGCATATATCCAAAGTATATTCTACAGAGAGGCATATAGTATTTTCCAGATTACTGACTTGTCATAGAAGCATTCCTCAAAATGAGAAATCTCTTAAATGCATAAGCTCTGATAGATCTCATCATAAAGATATTTGAGGGAATTTCATGTATCAGCAAGAAATCTTCATCTCCCTTAATGAAAGACAGCTCAGCAAGTACTAACAGCTAACAGAGCTGCCAGTCATAGTTTGTAACATACAATTTTACTAATTGTTTTTCACTAAGTGTAGGCAAATCTCTTTAGTTCTCAGAATTTGCAGTCAAGACTGGACTGATGTGCTTTCTGCACAAAGGAAATGGGTACAGCACAGCTGTATACTTCTGGCAACTCCAGGTTTCCCAAAATAAAGTCAGTCTGATTTCATCTGGTTCAGAGCTGGGAAAGGCACTATTGCAAACTGCTCTGTGTAAGCTAAACAGAGAGCCAGGTGATTTTAGATACAATCAGCACTCAAAGCTTTTTAACGGGGTGAAGGAGAGGTGAAAAACCCAGTGTTTCCTTTCCAGAACAAGCTACTCTCCCATGAAGGACGTGTAGTATGCAAATGATCTATACAGCTGTTGTTTCCAAATGTTTCACAAACCTGAGATTTGTTAGTGTTGCTGGAAGTACTGGCTGTTTGGCTACTTTGTGTTTTCCCACTTGACTGGGAGGATTCCAGTGACGCTTCCTGTGACCCCACTCTGTTTGTGGTAGACTGGCGACAGCCCAACTGTTTAGAGGTTTTGCAAGGTGTTCCATCAGAATCCTTCAGGAAAATGTAAAGTATTAGTGAGGGTTTTATGAGTGAATTTTTCTATTAGTGAGTTTTCCCATAAAAATAAAGCTAGCAGTGGATAAAATTTCAAATGCGTTTATTTTATTAGAATTTAAAATTCTTTCAATCCAGAATTCTTACGGAGTGAAACGGACAGATTTAAAAATGTACTGATGCACAATTCTGATTTTAGGATTTAGCTTTTTTTAAAATAGAATTCCCAAACACTTTTAAGTTTTGGTTTGGGTTGTTTTTTTTTTTAAGCATATGTCTTAGGACTACCAGTCTTGTTTATTTTAAACACAGTTTTCCCAGAGAAAAGAGGGCTATGTAACTCTGTATCTACAGTAATCACTTTCTACATGTTGTGTCAAAAACACACTGCAACTTACATGTGTAATAGATATTGCATAAGAGGCAACATCTTATGCAAGTTAGGATTCTGGATGTTCTAACTAACTAGGATTCCAAACTTTCAAAATGTATTCTGTGGAAGTACAGTCAGGGAAAACATCCAAAACCCAAAGAAACTGAAAAAAACCCCGAAATCAGAAAACCACCAGTACTTACTACATCACTAGAGCTGGACAACGTAGAGGATGAGGATGATAAAGGACCTGACGAAGAATTTGAAGAATGTTTACTAAGTGTTTCTGAAGTTTTATTTCTAGGTTTTGACAGTGCTTCATTCTCTTCAGCAAGATTATTGTTGCATTTGTCTAGCTGCTGAGTATCTACTATCAAGGTTACTCCATTACCTATTAAAAACAAAACAGAAGCATCACCACACAGTAACTGCTAAAATATGATGCTTTTCTTTTTTTAAATATACCCCCTCAGGTATTACCTCTCTATTACATCCAGCAGGACATGTACAGGCATCTGCACATGCTCATACTTGTAATACCTGCAGACACATGTTTGTGTGTATATATTGCATGCAGAAAGCCAACAACTCGCAGAGGGTGCGGCGGTTTCCCAAAAAGAGCTGTTAATGTACAGTGTGAAAACCACCAAGCACTACCTACAGGTTCAAGCTGGAAATCAGAGATTTGAGACATGGAAGAAGGTAGTAACAAAGTTCATATGTGCTGCTTAATGAGATTGATCCACCACACACTTCAACAGCACGCAAGTAGCTAGGTTTAAATTCCATTCCTATATGCCCAATACTCAGCAGCTCCCATTTTATTTCTGCTGGAGCTGCTAGAAGTTCATAAGAACTTCAAATAAGTCTGGCTGCTTTGTATGATACCCTACCCTGAAAATATGAGACACAGAACTATGATATCTCACTAACTTCTACTTTAATTTAAAAAAGAATCAGAACTTAAATCTAAACTATATCTACAAGATGACCACTGTAACTGCCACCATTATCTACCTGATACAGGGTTATTTTATTACTGTTTTATCTCACAGAAGACTCCCAGGAGTCACCTCTGATTTACACAGCATACATTTGCTGCCTCACTAGCTGTGCTTGCATACAGAGGTTAACTACACAGATCACATCAGGTAGCAAAAGTGTTACTCTGGAACTTGTGGGACTGAGGAGGAGTTGTCTGCCATGACCAGGTAGTGCAGCAGTGCCACAACAGTCTGCAGACTGATAAAACACAAGTGGTCCAGGAGCACATTCAATTTTACAAGGACAGTAAAGGAAACCACTAACAAAAGCTTTCAAAACAAATGAAATCCCATCTTAGCCTAAAGACTTGGTAGTTGCATCATCTTCTCTCCTTAAGCCCTAACAAGAGAGGACTTCTAGAAGGCAACATTCTAAAAGTAACTGGAAAATATTAGCATTAATTTTAATTTGAAAACTTCCAAACAGCAGATACACCTACACCAAAAGAGAGTGGCAACTGGCTGGTGAAATCAGAAGATGGGCAATGAAAATAAAGATGATTTTAAAGAAAATTTTCAGCAAGTCCTCTGGCTAGACTTTTTGTTTCCATTTGTTAGTAACAAGAATCATGATAGACATTTCAGGATTTTTCTGTTTAAAAGACTGATTCCACTTATGTGGCCAATCCTGGTTTAAATATTGCTTCCATTCACATACAATATGTTAAACTTTAAAAAGAAAAAAGGAGTAACAGAGGGTAAAGATTTAAACTAGCATTCTCAGTAATTCTTTTTAAAACCCTGTCCACCTTTAAAGGACAAAGGAAGTGTGACAGTAATGATGCATAATTTGAATTGGAAGTTTTTCAGAAGTCTCCTTTTGCAAGCCCAGACCTCTATGCTGGCCACATCTACTGCAGTAGAATAAAGATAGACATGGCAGGGCCTTTTACTCTTGTACAAATCTACATCTTCTAGTTACTAATAAAAGGAAAAGCAAAAAAGTGAATTCACATTAAGATGCACGCATTGCCTTATGTGAGGCAAAAGCAACAACAGAATCTGATGAAAGCACGCAGGAAGCTTCCCACTATCAGCCATGCTTAGGCAAAACTTACCGTTACATGAAGACTCTGTCCTACTTTGCATTCCCCATTGCTTTGATATCCAGTCTCTGTATGTGGCCACCTCTTGCGTTACTCTGATTATTCTACCCAAAATACTGCAAACCAGGGGAAAAAAAAAGAAACCAAACAAAACCGTCAACACAATTTTTAGACACACAGAAATACAAGCAGTTAACAACTGAGATTTAGACTTATAAAATTTACCTTTCTGTTTCGTTGTTAGGATAATATTTAGCTATTGGGGAAACTGCATGGCTCAAAACAACATAGGCATAATCAAAAGCCTGTTTCACTTGCATGGCACCATAGGAACTCCTCCCAACATCATTACCTTAAAGTAAGAATACATTTAAATACATAAGTAAGATTGAAACTGTGGTTATCTCCTTTCAGGCAGGAGACAGTGGTATTTTTTTAAAAACTCTGCCCTTATGTCCCAACTCACTGCAGTTACCTCTTGTAAAATAGGATTAGTGGAGCATAAATATTTGAAAGAGCTTAAAAGACCTATAGATATTTACATGCACAGAGGTTCAAAATGGCAATTCTCTGGGTAAAAGTGCAATACATAAATAAAAAAATAAGCAACTATAAAATCCTGCATATGTAACAGGACTGTCCAGGATGACATTTTTCTAGATCAGAAATATGTTAACTCTTTTCTCTGAACAGCCCTTGACTCACCATTCCAGAAGCCACCCCACTGAAGCCAACAATCAACCTTAACATTAAGGTAACAGTACAGAGTGAAGCCACTATGCATTTATGTAGCACTAACTGCAGCACAGGCACACTCTGGGCTGATGTGGTAACTTTTACTAGGAAGGTGTCTTAAAGAACGTCGTTGTGTTTGTGTCCAACTTGTGTTCAAAGACATGAAAGAGGTGGTTTTATCTGGTTTTTGGTGTCCACTCTACTATTCTTTGATTTAACTCCTCTGGATTAAGCATTCCCCTGACTTCTTCTTAGTCAGTACGTTAAGTGTTGGTTTATGAGGATACCTGGCTGTAATGGATCTTCAATATACAGCATTGATGGCCTGTAGCCATCCAGCATGCTTTTTTGCACTTCATCCTTGGCAACATAAGAGCCACCATCCTTTATTCGGATTCCAGTCTTCAGATAATTGAAGTGACGTCCATATAATTCAAAAAACTCTATTAAGAGAACACCATAGTTGGCATTCGGCATACAGGCATCTTCCCTGGGATGCAGCTATTAAGAAGACAGAAAAAAAATCGTTTTCTAAAGACTTTAAGTTTCAAGTGCCTCTAAGTGCCTTTGCTTTTTCACAGTGAGCGTATCTAAATACAATAAAAAATAATAAAACAGAATGTATGAAACAAACTTGTCTAAGTACAGTGTTTTCCTTGATAAAGCAGTTCTAAATCTTTAAACCCAGATGTTTTAAAAAAAGCTAAAACGAAACTTTTATACACTAATTACCTCTTAAAAATAAGGCTGTCAAGGAGTCACGTTTTTGTATGTGAACTTTCAGTTCAGTAAGTGAACTTCCAGCACTAATAGCAGGGTTCTTATAAAAAAAACAAGTGTATTTGCACTTCACAAACCTGGGCTTGCAATGTAAATGCAGGCTTTAAAGTTCACATATAAATGATCCCCTATGCTGTTAGGTATGCAACCTGAGAGATTATGAACAAAACTAGTTCGTGATTTTAACCGATACAAAACCTGACTGCTTTTTCTGCAGCGCAAATGGAGATGCTGTTAGTCAACATAAGAAAAAATTTGGGATGGGAGAGATCTTGGTTTCTTTCAAAAAGATATGCCTGTTGTCTTCCATCTCTTTTGTGCTCAGCAGGCAGCTGCACTAGCACTCAGCAAACACCAGCTCAAGGCTCAGGTTTAAAAGTAACTACAATCTGGGAAGTACAGACATACACACATGAAGTTACATACTAACATTCAATATAAGAAAAAGAACAAAGCTGATAAAGCCAGAACTCAGACACTTCACATTTCTACAATATTTTTCTCCCCCAGGCACAACAATATAGATTTAGCTCATGCATTCTGTTCTCTTAGACAGAAGAGAAAGTTGTAAAACACGTTTATTTGGTATCAGCTTAAAAACCTAGACAAACTAGCAAAATTCTCCTGCTAATTCGTTAAAGTACACCTAGGGTGTCAAACCTGGAAAACAAGGGTTATAAAGGACAGCTGCATCTAACAGTAACCTGCTTGGAACTAGCTGCTCCAAATAAATCATACAATAGTCAAGTTACTTTACCATATATGTGTGCCTGGTACTGATACATCAATGGATATTCCAAACACCTCTTAATACCGAAAGTACCAGTAAGGGAAAAAGAAGACAGGTAGAATGTGTCTCTTCTTAAATAAAAAGAGGGTGCAAAACCACAAACAGGATAGCTTAGATGATTAAATATAAGGATTGATCAAATTATTTCTTAATGTCCTTTTCCTCCAATGGCATCAACAGATTTCAATAAGCTTACCTGAAGGAAGCTGACAGCCATTAGAAAAAGACTGTAAGAACCAATTCCACCTGTAAATACTTCATTAAGGTCCCTCTGCAATAGGAACTGTTTCAGGACTAAAACTAGATATGGTAACACAGGGTATTTCTGAAAGAGAAAAGCAAAGTTGTTAGGACACTGTGATGCATATATACAACTGGTGATAAGAAAGCATATTGAAGCTATCTGTTACATCATGTCTCAAAGCTAAGTATAATTCTTACTTATTTTTAGCATCAGGGAGAAGCCAAGTGCTCTGCCTGTGGTCATTACAGGTATTTTACCTCTTCAACTTCAGTGGCAGATATTAAAAACAGAAAAAAAAAAGTTCCTACTTCATAAAATCAGAACTATATTGTTAGATTATACGAATACATTTGATTTTCTCAAAGCAAACTGAATAGGAAAACAAAGGAAGAACTGTGGAGATAACCATGTCTGTAACAAAACCTTCCTGCTGCAAACAAGCCGGTATCCCACAGTGGGCTGGAACTTCTGTCCTGCAAATTCTTCAGATGCCCAAAGAAACAGTTCTTCGAAATTACTACAGTCAGATAACACTTTTGGAGGAGCCAAATACTTACCTTTGGGTATCTGGTCCTTCAATAGGTTTGTCAGCATGGACTTCCTTAGAGATGTGCATACACTGCACGTGCGGAGAATATGGACCTTTTGGACAGCAGTGGAGGCTGGGGCTATGCCTGCACTCTGAACACCCCCTCACAAGGTGGGGGAAAAAGAAGCTCAATAATATCACTCCTGTTAGCAGCACAGAGCTAAGAATTTCCTTACTTTCAGAGGAGAGATGTGGATCATGGTATCTGTGATTGCAAAAGATTAAAGGGAAATTGGCAATTTCTCTAAGAACAACTATGCACAAGTCTTAATGAGAGTACGAGGAGCCCTACTTAACTGAAGAGCCCAAGATCAGTTTTTGAACTATTAGGAACTTAGAGTCACAAGCTGGAGTGCTGACTATATTCGTATATGCCAAAATTCAAAGATGGGATTTTTCTCAGGACACTGCAAACCCTTAATTAAGGCTTCAGCCATACCAAACTTCCTAAATAAACTGGATTAACAGAAATAAGCATTTCCAAGGGTAATACTGAGCATGACACCTCTGTCAGGTAATTCACAGTAATGTGGGATGAAATAAGACCCAAGAGAATGCCCTGCAAATGTTTCATAGAGAGATCCTCAAGAACACCATTACCAATGTGTCCCAGAGATGAGTGCCACCTCTGCCGACCTGCGGGCCACCCGTCACCCATGCTCAAGGCCAGCTCTGGTGTGGCACAGCAGCATGGCCTTGGCTTGGGCTGCTGGGAAAACAGCCCTGTGGGAAAGTGCCACGTGGGAAGCTTTGTTGGGAATCCCTCCTACTCGCTCATCCCTTGTTGGGAATCCCTCCTCCTCGCTCACCCCTCCACCAGCTGCTTTTCATCTCTGCTGTTCCTCTAGTGTCTAGCTGAGCTATGCTGCTGTGCACTGGTGCTGATCCTGACCCTAACAACTGACCTGGTGTCCTCAGCCTCAACCTCCTCACTGTAAAACTGTCTGCTAGCCATTGCCTGGCCTGTGAGCTGACCTCAACTGTTGTCACCAGACCTGCTCTGCTCCTCGGGTTGGGGTACCATGGGACTGCACCCCTGCCCATGCCTGCCTGGCTGCCACTCACAGCTCCCACTCCCTCCCCAGGGGCACAGGCTGCTCTCACCATGCCCTGACCCAAGGCCAAAGGGTCTCTAATGAATTGCAAACAACCCAGGCAACAGAAACACACTAACACACTTTTCTTTTGTTAAGCACACAAAAATGCTTTTAGACGCTAAGACTACCTCCTCTCCTGAAATTAAGAGGCACATAGGCAATTTTGGGCAAGCAGGCAGGGTCTTATGGACTTACCTAAAAAGAAATGTATACGCAGAACATAACTGAAACGCAGCCCCTGTGTTGTGGCAGAAAACCAAATACAGATTGCCTGTCCACCATAAGGCAATGCGACAACTCACAGGATGTAGAAACTGAAGTTAGCTGCCAAGTTCCAGGTACGTGTCATAAGACAGAGAATCTGGGCATCTTCTTTCCCCAACAAGGAGCTACATAGTACAAAACTATCGGTCTTGGCTTAGCAGCAAAAGGTCGGCCAACACAATCAACTTCTGTCCATCAGGTAGACACTGAGAGAACGAAGGTCTCTGGACCCACCCCACCCTCTTATTCTGAATGTGGGTGCAAGAGGCCTCATCAGCACAAGGTTTATATATGAGCATACAGGTGAGACTATGCAGACAAGAACTCAGACTATTCTACTGAAACTAAGGACAGAGGTTTTTCTCCCATGTACTTCTACAGGTTAAAGAAATAGAGGCTGTTGAAGCAAACTGAGCTACTTTCACACTTGCTACTAATCATACATAAAAGCCATACATTCAACTCATCAGCAACTGAAAATCCCCCCAAATTTAGAAGACCTCTTGCAACTCAATGACATTATTAAAGCAGATGTATGTGATTTCTAACCCTTATGACTGAAAGTGAAGTAATTGCTTTATCCAGATGTATGGAGTTTTACATGTTTAGCTATTGGAATACTTTGATTATCCTGCTGTCATTAGTTTGATTAAAAAACCCAAACAGTTAGAACAGTAATACCTACACACTGAAGTGAGACTGAACTGCACTTGATCTCCCTACACAGAACATGGAAATCCAACAAAAACTTTCTACTGCTTCTGTATTTGCTACAGTGTCCCTATACACTGAATAGGGGAAGGGAAGGAAAGGAAAATAGTGTAATGATCCTTCAAAATTTTAAAGATAAAAGCATATTAATCCTAACAAAATAACCCCATATACTAAACAAAAATAACTGTAATGTATCTATGATACACGTATTAGTGAATCCCTGAACAGTAACTTATTAAATTTAACTTATTCTACTTTACTAGCATTTGTACGCTGAAATAATATTAATTCCAGAACAAGATTATTCTTCCTCTTTCAGCAATGTGTGGTTATTGCTAATTTTAAGGTGAATGAACCACAGCTAGAGCAGGTATTACTGCATTTTCTTTAGTCACTGTCCCATTAAAACTTCCTAATAATTTATACATTACTATCTTCATGACTTTCAGGGCAAAATATCTAAAACCTAAGAACACCACAGAGTAGCAGCAGACAACAAAAATAACAGAGTGAAAGTGTATCTCTAGTCAGGATGCAGTCAAAGTAAAACATAAAATCAGGTCATCAAATATTCAGCTCTGTAGTTCTATTACAGTGTTGCCTAACCTTGATAAAATCTTTGATGAGCTGGGCTGCTTTAACCCCGTTCTGTACATTAAAGCTTATATCAACTTTTACTTCAGTGAAGGAATCTGTGAGTTTAATAATGGGTACCTGCAAAAGAAAGACAGGCTAAGTCAACACAGATTTCCAAGACTCATTTGGTTTCATTCGTATGTATATGCACCAGTAAAAATGAAATGTTTTATGACTTTGTAGAGAGAAATCAGGACTCCTGCCTACTTATGAACGCGCTCTCCTTGCCAATCTGTTTACATCAACTTTGCTTTTCTAACTCATAAATGCCATTTTCAATTTACTATCCTGTTTGACAGAATGTAACACTTCTTCGAAGTGATTAATTTTATACTGGTTTTAGTCAGCTCCTGGTGCAGCAGCAGAGTTCTAGAGGGAAAAAACAAACACCAGAGGGAGACAAACACTTAAGAAATGAAGATAAATGGTAATAGATACTCTTAAGAAAATACACACTCGTGTCATTGTGGGTCATTGATTCCTCATCAGAATTATCTTCAGACAAGAAGCACAAGATACTGAGAGCACTCTGACATATCTCCCACCTGGGTGGTTTCTAAATTACCTCTCTCTATAAGTAACAGCCATCAATTAGATACCTCCTTTAACCCCAACACACTTACATACTCCTAGAACTAGCAGAAGGTAGGAAGTTACAATGGAATTAATCCTATCCTGTGTAAGGCATATTATTACATAAGGGTGTACTTAACATTTCTGTGTATTATGTCCACTTCCTTACAATAAGAAAAAGTAATTAATTTACTTATGTACAAACTGAGCCCAGAAATTCACAAGTTTAATCACATTAATTCACAACAATGACTAGTACAATCTCACTTAAAAGCAAGTGTATTTTGTGTAGCATGAAAAATCATATTATTTTCCCCAACAGAAGAAATGCTTCTGTTGAAGCACTATCGATTATTTTTTTGAGTAATAAAAATTGTACAAAGTAAAAAGGTTCTATTGGTCCTATCTTGTATTTATATACAAAATAGTTTCTGCTTATGAAAAAATAATCTTTTTAACTAAGATATTTTACTATATAGTTAGCTTAGAACAAGGAAATATCCCCTTCCCCCAAACTTACAGTTGCTTTATCTAAAACCTTTACTGAGTTTTCATCTGCTACATTGTGCTTTCTAAGGGCTTCTTCCAAGGTCCAAAGAGGTAATGTCTCCCACTTTCCAAACACAACTAAGTCAATATCACTGAAATAGAAAGAAAATAGATTTATTCTAAGACCAATATACTTAAAAGATGAATAGCTGACATCCACACATAACTAGAATAAAGCTGACAGAATGTAGCTGTTTAACCAAATAATTTATTCTTAATTTTCTGGGGAAAGAGATAGGGATAAACTGTTATACCTGGGTAACTACAGAACATTTCAGACTAGCAAGGGAGGGGACAGACACACACACGAACCACTTGGGCTGCAAAGGCTAGGATTAGTCTCCTCAGGCCACACTGTCAGCAGAAAGGGATCAGCTTCTCCAGAGTGATTCTGAGCAAGAAATTACCTTGTTGTGGAGCACCACCTTAGGGCTGTATCAGTCAGTAATGCCGATTTAACAGCCTGTAACTGAAAGGGAAAAAGTCCTGTTCCCCATCCTCTGCTCCCCAGATGCATGGTCCTGCCTCCTCCTTTGCTGTAGGTCTGGTGTTGGTCTAGTTCACAGCAAGTCAACTTAATGGGTCTGGCAGAAACCAACTCCCCACCCCTAAAAAAACCCGCAAAACATTCTGGGGTAATTTGCTGGCTCTCTGCATCTCGAAGTTGGGTTTCTGGGTGATCAGAGCACGAGCCAGCACATGGTAAGCAGCTGGCCTGTAGTGCCAAAAACAGGCAGCAGGGAAGGAGAAAGGAAAATGTGGCAACTTGGGCTTCAGGAAGCAACAAGCTGTTAAGTAAGATCAAACCATCTAATTAACTTCATTCATTAACTCAGCTCCTTGAAGGGGTGTCTTCAGCCCACTATGCTTCCTCCCTAAGCACACACATACTCATCTGACTACACAGGGAGCTGACATCCTAATTCAATGCCTAAACTCAAGTCCAGAAGGTGACTGGTATCCAAACTGAAGCCAGTGAGGGCTACTGTGAGATCCTGAGCTCCTTTCCCTGCTTGTTTGGGAACACAAAGGAGGCAAGCGTATAACCCTGCAGCTATACAAGCAGGCCACTTCAGTGACACAGAAAACTGTGCAACAGGCAACACCAAAAAAATTGTAACACTTTTTCGCCCCAACAGATTCCACAGGTCTGCTGATTCACAGACAACTCTGCTTTAACAACCTCAGAGAAACCACGTCTGCAGTAGATGAAGTATTTCTTGTCAACAGGCAGTGTCAGCAGCAGTCGAGCTGCACACTGATTAGCTGGCAAGGGTAGGCAGCACTCGGCCAGCTGCAGAAAACTGTGCTCAAAATTTGCTTTAAGAATATGAAATGCTGCTGGACACTTCTCTTGTAAACTAAATTGGTGTTAAACCCACTACTGATGCTGAGAGTCACCAACAAGAGACAAAGCAACTCTGTTATCTATCACCTTGAGTATAAATATGCCTGAAAAATAACACAGAGATCCAGCAGCAAAACAACCCTGTGCCCAAATCCTCAATATCAGCTTAATTAAAAGGATATTAGACAAAATATAACAAGGAGTAACAGAATAAAACACACTGTAGGTCTTTCACTGAAACATGCAAAACCTACATAGCCACAGCTATTACAGTTAACAGTCTTAATTTTTCTATGCACTTTGCAAAGTACTAACAGCTTAACACTTTCTTAATATAACAAGTATACACACAAGTAACATGGATATTGGGAGATCAGATAAGTCACTACAGAGATATAGGTTTGACAGGCTATCATTTCTCTTGTACAGAATTATAGTGAAAAATTACTGACCTTGTAGGTAAATATAAACCAGTTTTGAAACTTCCAAATATCTGCACCTGAAACACAAGAATAGGATGTATGAAAATAAATTATCAGGCTTCAGAACACCAACAAGTTCTATTAAATTGCTTGTAAAGGCTGGTTATTGCTACCCTCCATTGGTAGATTTTGGTATTGCTAACAGGCACATTCTGAACAGAAGTACTCTTTTCTGTTAAAGCATTCACATCTTCAGTGTATTTAAATCACTAATCTTCATTGTTATTACCCATGAAACATTAATAACTTTGACTTTTCTATTACAAAACCTTCTTTTTAATATAAAAAATTTCACCATGACCCAATTTAGCAAAAATCCATAACCCAAAAGACTTAAAACACTTTAGAACGATAGAACATAAAAAAAAAAAAAAACCAGTATCAGTTCAATTTATTTTTTGCTTTCATATCTCAAAGTATACCCTTTGGTTTTTAAACACATTTTCTAAGTTTAATACATCTCCATTGCTTTGCACACTAAAAAAAATTATATTGCAATCCATGTTTTTCTGAATTAGAGATCAACAAGCACAACTCTGTTTATTTCTGCTTAAACAACAAACAAAAGATGTTTCAGAGAGTTTTGCATCCCCCAGATTTTATTTACTATGCTGGATTTTGACTAGCACTGGAGGTTTAAATAAGGAGGTTTCCACTGTAAGCTGTCCGAAACTATGTTCTCATTAACTTAGCCAAGGCTTGCAGGGAGGTCAGACTCATGTGCTAAGCCTCAAAGGGGGACTGGTGAGACTTCAAAGTGAAAATATCTAGACATTTGGACTAATTTTCAACCAGTCTTCTGATGTGTTTCCTGAAGCCACCTTACAGACTTGTATTCTGCTTTAATGAGTCTCATGCACTACCTTGACTGCCACCTATTTGTATGTCAAGTGACCCACTTTCTGTCTTTTCCCCTTTGGGATAAGAAAAAGGGAGAGACTGGAAAAGATGATGTTTTGCAAGTAAGTGTTTTAATACTTTAGTAGACTAGGAAGCGGCTTGAGTGCTTCCTCTTGATTATTTTAGATCGCCTAACTCTTCTTACTCCTTCAACACACCCCCAACAAAAAGCACATTCTGGGAGTAACTTGAATGTTAAAAGTTCACAGCTTCTCAAACTAGAAAAGACTGCAAGAGATGCCACAGAACTAGCACCAACAGCGTACTAGATCTTGACAAAAGCATAAAGGCATCACAAAGCTAAGAATGTAAAAATAATTACTATTACTGTTTTAAATCCAGGATAATAGTAAAGACATCCCCTGTAAAACTGTTTGGGTTCAGTCAAACCAGGATTTATTTGGCCAGCAAAAATACGTGTGGAAATGTGGAAAAGTGCTTTTCCACAATCAAACAACCACTGATGGGTTTGGAAAAAAATAAATGTCCTTTCACATTTTTAAACAAAATAGTGTGCTCGGCTGAACAGTAAAGAGAGCCTTTTTCCAAATAAACAACCCCAAAAGTATTCATAAACTTACTGATTCAACATATATGACCTTTACGGAAAGGAATGAGACAACATCTGCTGTTATACAATAATTTGGATTATTAGAAACACTGAATTATTATAAAAGAAACCCACACCCATACTTCAATGCCTCTCTGATCAGATCTGGAAAGATGGGAGAGGAAGAGTGTGGAAATCAGAACAGAACCATTAAAGGATTTTGACTTACAGAATTGGCATTTAAAGTGTTGAAGCTCTGCAGCCACGTACATATCCAAAGCATCCCAAATACAAGACACTGTCATGATTTGAGAGGCCTGAGAATTAGTTTTTGTAGTGTGCCAACACTGCCAATTACGGGTTTATTCTATGTGGTTAGAGATATGTATTTGCATTCATAAGATAACTTAAGACTTCACAGCACTATAATGGACTCCTCCTACTCCTGTATGTTATTGTTATTATTTATCCTACATTTCTTCAAACTTACTCATATTAAATTCCAAAGATCCTGAAGGAGCTTTAATTACAGATGTGTGTCCAAATATGTCCTCACTATGCAGAACAGAACTTGGAAACCCACAAAAGCTTGGAAAGGCCTTGCTACCAAAGTCCCTCCATCAAAACAAAACCAAACCTATCCATATTCAATTTAGATTTCCCTTTCTTCTACATCATTAGGTAGAATTTTCTGAAGTTTGACAAACTAAATAGAGTTAATCTTTCTATTTCCATTCCCAATTATAGTATTTTCACAAGTGAAGTGTGTGAAATATACCACACTGCCTCTTTTTCAGATCTATGAAGCTACATAATATTCAGACACGAAGCTGAGGACATTATACCAAATATATCCTAAATTCCACTGTATAACTACTTACTTGTTCAATAGTCAAACTTTCATATTCAACTGGTCAAAAACCTTGTCTTAAAATGCTTTCTTTTAATGTTTTGGGTTGTTCAGTTTCAGCATAATTAAAGCCTTTCTGATGGTCAGAGCCTTGCTGATGCCAAGAACAGTTCTTTTTCAGGAATGTTTCCTTCTAAGCACATTCCCTTGAGTAAGAGAGCAAATGACACAATTGCTAACTTCTATAAATAAAGTACCAGTTTAAGATACCTAGTTATACCGTCCCCTCCATGTGCTTTTTCAGCCTTTTCCAAGTGGAACAGGAAAAAAAGTATGTGCACAGACACATATCACACACTCTCTATACGTTTAAATTCATGAAGCCTGATTTTCATTTTCCTTGGTATCTGATTTTTATAGAGTCTGTCTTACCTATGTGTTTAGTGAGAAACTACAAACTGAATGTGTATGTTTAACTTACGAGTTTATTTTAGCTGGATTCATTGCATCTATGACTCAAAATGAACAGCTTAAACGTTAACTTTACACTACAGCTAAAAGTGAGGACATTGGCCCAGATAACTTTTTACCTTCTCAGAGCGTGCACTCAAAACTTAAATCTTACAAGTAGCTAAACGAACACAATTTCCAAAGGGTTAGTGATTAACTCAAGCAACTGAAAAATTACAACAAAAGACTGTCAAAGTTGAACACAGTTGAGTTCATTAGTTAGTTCCCCAAACGGATCTGTAAAGTAAGTATTAGAAAAATAACATTACAGTAATTTTCAGATTGTTACCTGGTGTGCTATGTCACTGTTCAGTTCCCTTCTAGCTTCCAGAAAATGGAAGGGCATACAAGAGAATTCTCTCTCAACATAACAGCAGCACACAAAACTCATTTAGGCTCTGATGAGCAGTTACTGACTTGAGATAAACTGGCACATTGTTGCTCTCAATCATTTTCAAGAACAGCAAGGAAAGAAGGTCATGGCAGTTTTAACTGGCACCAACTGAAACGTGAACTTCAGTTTTCAACTACATGGGTTATTCTTCCTCTCAGTAACATTACAGCGAAGCCCAGTGGTCAGCTGTCACTTGTGGCAGGGCTTGTGATTTGCTTCCTCCTCGTTAAGGGAGTATAGCAACAAAAATCAGTTTCACTAGCTTTAAGAAAGACTATTTTCTCAAGCCCTTGAAGTCATATATATATATATATAAATATAAACAAACATTATTTTAATACAAAAGACATAGCTTTTACAGATCAAGTGTGTCCTACAAACAGCATTTCTGCAGACGCACTGAAGTTCTTGTGCTCTATTCAAAGTGTTACTGGTAACAAAGGAAGATCCCTGGTAACAAACCCATTCACCCCATTACACTGGTTAAGTCTGCAGCACACAAACTTGTCTAGGAAATAGTATCAATCTTCTCCTGGCTGAAGCAATCAGCTATTACGCTGAAACCTCCTGTTAGTTTGGCAGAGTGTATCAGAGCAAGCACTATTTTCTACCTAGGCTGCTTCCTATACTATTGCCTGTCAAACTGGCAGCCCACTATTCCTGCTCTTGACTAGGGTCTAAACACTGTTTCGCTGGGTTAGAGGAGATCTATACAATACCCGTGAGATACGCTGAAGTCTCTTACACAGTTCCCTTGGAAAGGTTATTGTTTTACTCAATGAAAAAAAATTACCAGATACGTTTTGTACTGAATATATGTACAACCATATGGTACGTTACTAATAAGTTGACCATAACTTGAATCACCTTGAACACATCAGTGTATTTTACACATAAAACCACACACGTATAGTTCAGAAAGAATTCATATTCTGTTATATTCTGCCAATTTCTAAAAAACACATTCCAAAAACCAGGCTAAGAAGATCTGAAATGAACAGTGGGTTTAAGTCACTTATGTCAAAACACTATCTTTTACGTGGTAGGATCAAAGAGCATTTCTTATACTAAAGGTTCTGCTGTCTGCATTTGGTTTGCTATTCCAGCTAACAAGTCCTTATTTTCAATTATTGTTAGCTACAGAGTGATGACTACATCTCTACATCTGCATTCTGGAAATGAACACCATGTTAGTAGAGGGATACAATTAACCTATTTTAGCAATTATGCTAAAAATCCAACTGTGTTCCCATAAAACCATCTTGAGTTGTAAAAGCAAATTCTCTGGCTTCTCTTTAATCCAGCCTTTTCATAGCTCTGCACAGGAGAAACTTGTTTCGACTGAAGTACTAGCAAAACTCCATCTTCAGTGGAAAGAGGCATTCCAGATTTTAAGTTCAATACACAGATCTACAGATCCACAAAGTTGTTTTTTCTGTACAAAAAACCTGGTTCCTTTAAATTTTTAAGATGTCTATTTAGTTTAACTGCCCATTAAAAACAGCATGTTCTACGTAACATGGCATTGCTGGCATTCCACCTTAATTCAAGACCACAGGTCTTTGGACAGTAGAAGCCCTGTGTCGTGGTTCAAGCCCAGCCGGCAACTTGGAACCACGCAGCCGCTCGCTCACTCCCTCCCTCTTCCTTACTCCCCCCGCTCCCAGAGGGATGGGGAAGAGAATCGGAGGAATGTAACTCCCACGGGTTGAGATAACCCAGGACACCCTGCTACTAGTGGAGCGATGACTTTGATAAGATATGCATTTTTTAAACACAATACTTTACAAGCATGCATGCCTTGTATGTTCCCATTAATTTTAGTAAATAAATATTCATGAGACTAAATGTTGCCATACCTTATGACCTTTCTTTGACTACAGTAGATCTAGCTTATCTTTGCTCCTATGTGTGACAGAAAATGTTGACCTATATTATTCTAGGAAGAAAGATCATCTCTCTTATTTGACCAGAAATCCTTTTGTTGGTGTTTTGTTGTGTTTTAAATATGGAAAAATAAACAGTGTTTTCATTATTCAATACTTCATGAAGTAAACAGGCACAAAACATTGCTTTCATATTGAAAACCAGAACAGTGTCCTACTCACATCTGCATTAGGCCAGAGCTCTTTTATAACATTTTCTATCCTGTTCACCACTTCCATCCGCATTCTCTCTTCTTCAGGTCTGGGAGACATGTACTTATAGAAGTCAATGATTTCTTCATGAAGACTAAGAAAGGGAAAAAAGAAAGAAAAAAAGAACAGGAGGTCATGAAAAAAGGCCACAGGATAATGAAACAGTAACTACTCTAAACAAACATGCTTTTCAAGCTCCTAGTTACCTGTCTAGTTAAGGGGCAGTTCAAGAGTAGAATGCAATTAAAACAAAAACAAAACAAACAAACAAACAAAAAAAAATCCCACAAAAAAACCCCCACAAAAACCCAAAACAAACAAACAAAAAACCAAAACAAAAAACCACAAACAACAGGTTCACAACACTTCTAAATGCTCAATTCCTCTTAGTTTCTTGTGCCATAGGTCAATATTGCACTGTACTCGTTAAAAGCATGGAAGCAAATCTAAATCCAAGCGTCTTCAATTCACATTGAAAGTCACACTCTGATTTTACTGCCAGTGTATCACAGAAATGGTTCAGTCTTTAACTCTGAACGCAGCTGTAAGCGCCAAGTACACGCTTTATTCAAACAGGAGGTTTCCAGCCAACGCTTCCTAGTCAGCCCTTGGCACCAGCTAGAGAGTTTCAGGCATCAGTCTGTGTTCAGTACCAAGCATTTAAGAAGTTAATAGTAACTGTGCCAGTACCAGAGCTGGAAAACTGCTTCTTTTACTCCTTAAAGATGCATGAACTAGATATTCACTCTCCCCCACAACAAGAAAATAAGTACTACATACACAGCAATGGTGGCGCAGAAGAGTGATTGACAGACAGTTAACCCATGTATTTTACAGTTTACCATATTAGATGTCAGTCATTAAGTTGTGTTTAGATTACCTATGATTAGAGCTGAAATAAAAATGTCTTCACACAGTGCCACAAATTTCTATGCTTCTGTAATATCATAAACACATCATCATCTTGACTAACAATGTATTTAGAAAAACAGACACAACCCTCTAATTTCAGCCATAGAGTGGGCTAAATTAATTTCATCTGTTTCCTGCAATGACCATTACAGTAACAGCTAGTTATTTTCTAAAAATGTATTGTTTCTAGTTACCAAGTACAACTGCATCTCCTCTTAAAGCTCTGAGGGACCATCAGAAGAGAGCAATTTATTAAGAACAAGCCCTTAGATGAGATGTGGAATCTAATACTTCCCCCCTGCACACACACTTAAACAAATCAAACGTTAGTGACTGGAAGTTGAATACAGGTGTCAATAAAACATTAAAATATCTGAAAGTTGTATTTAACAGTGTCAGGGTAGGGACAGAACTCAACCAATCTGCATTATGTTATTCAGTATGGCAGCATTAAGAACAACACAAGCTTCTTTCAGAGACAAAGGAATAAAATATTTACATTACTTTTTGCTGAGCATTTATTGTAATCTTCCCCCCACGCAGTTAGGGGAACAGTCACAAGAGCCTAGAATCGTGGCCATCACCACAGCTCTCTATAGCTAACACAAAGAGAAAAGCTCCTCTGAAAGAGTTCCTTCAAAGGGAAATCCAGACAGATACTCAATTTAGATAGCTAAATCAACCTTTGAAGAAGCTTCTCCTCCTCTGACACTTACAGAAGGAGCCTTACAAACACTTAAACTAAAAACTAAAATAAAACCATCCCCCCAGATGAACTGCAAAAATGCAAGGTGCCATCTCCCTCCTCCCCCCTTACTGCTGCACAGGCACTATGCCCTGCTCACACACATCACTTCAGATACCACAAGGATGTTCTGAACACCACAGCTGCAATATTCATACCAGTGAATGCTGTTTTCAGCATTTATTTTGACATTGCTAGGAAATTTCTCACCTCCTCCTGGTGACTGCTTTCTTGCTTTTCCTTGGAAACTTACAACCTGGGGTTAACGTGCACATTCCACACCACCACTGCCATCCCTTACAGGGACACTGTCTCCTTTGCTTTTGGTTTTTCAGGCATCTCCTGTTCTTCTGTTCTTCACTGCTATTCAATTTGTTGTCACTTAAAACTTTCTTACAGCTATCCTCCCTTTGCAAGAACTGAATGCGTAAGTATGCGACAAAGCGCAAGCTGAATACTCCAACAATCGCATTCACTCTCCGTCCCCACTGCAAATCACACACACTGAATTTCTAATTTGGTCTCCACATGCTTGACCATTAAGGTAGCATTCAAAAACAGGAGCAATAGAGAAAACAGGCAAACCCCCAATAATTAAACTCCAGAAAACTCAAATTATTTTTCAACTGTAATTTGGTGAGCCAGCTTACAGGAAGACCTTGGCTTCCTATCATACATAGCAAACTCTTTACTTAAGGGCTACATGGTGGGTATTTGATTAAGCCCTGCTTCTGCATCTGCTCCTCTGGCCTAGCTGGAACCAACTGGTTACATCTACAAGGCACAAGCTTTACCTCAGAGCAGTGGTTTTAGTAACATAAGATTGAGTGCACACATACACTGCCTGCCATGCAGTGAGGCACCATGTTGTCTGAGGACACTTAAAAGCACATGCTGGGTTAATACTGAGGGTCTGTCCTTGGGGAGAAATTCACGTATGGCACAGCACTAATCCATACTGCCCATGTTAGCAGTCCCACCTGCTCCTGGCCTTCTGCTTTACGGGAGTTAGTTGTTTCCCTGCCCCATAACGGAACTTTGGAAGAACAAGGCACTCAGAAATGAGGTCCCCAAAGTGCACAAAGAGTCAGGCCATACAGAGACTGCAGTTCTCAGGGCACTTCTTTTTATTAACTCCACTGACACTCTTAATTGAGATAATTATATCAATTGGTGCATTCTTTAGAAGCACATAAAACAGTGATGTGTTGTCAGAACCAGATGCATTTCTTTTTCTAAACACAAATAACATATGTCTGCATCTCTTTAAATGGGATCCTTCTTAATCTCAGTCATGTAAAAGCCTTATGGCAAAACAAAATATTAAGCAGTATGGAAAACCACAGAAACTGACATTACACATGCACTGAGTGTTTACTAGACAACGCAGATGCAGAAAAAATGAACTTTGCACTTTTTCACTGATAGAAAAAAAAGGTTTAAAGACTACTAGAGAAAGTTCCCACCAGCACATCAGCTGGAAATACTACAGACGTGTCTGTATTTCTGCTGCTGCTAGGACTGCCTGGGCTGCACAGACCACAGCATGCAGAAGGGAGGCACAAGCCTTGAAGACTCAAGACTACACCTGGAACTATACCTCCCTCCCCGATAATGCTGCTGCCAAGAAATAAAAGAATGATTAATTAAAGCTGAAACAAACAGAAGTAGCCACATGCAGATTCCAGAGCAGTACAATAGGACTTGGAGGTGTGACTCTAATTAACATGGAGTTAACTCAAGCTGTACTGAAAATTAAAACTCAAGGTTATTCACTGTCTTAATCAACATCTATTATAGTAGCTGTTTTTCAAAACAATTTGTTTGGATTAATGGAGTCTGTTTACAAGAGTCTCTAGTGGAATTTTATATCTGTAGCTGAAATGAAGATCAAAGAGACTAAGGAGTTATTTTTGGCATCGTAACAGTATTTTATTATTTAATGCCATTACACTCATTAGTTATTTTAGATAAAAGTCTTTAAAAGGAGACTTAATTTTAGAAGGGAATTACACTGTAATAAACCTGATTCCACTACGGAGAAATACTTCATTTGGCTTTATAGTCATACTGAAGCATACCAACACCCAAGACCTACTTAGGATGCCTGGAGATAGCTCTCTGCAATATGTAAGAGCATTAGTTTACTGTTTTTATTATAGTAAATAGCTATACAAGTGGCTCTTTGTTCTGTACTTCAGGATATCTTAACATGTGGGGAAAAGAAAACTAAAATAGTCTCTTACACTTTCTCTGAATATGTTTTAAAACAAGGTACTGACTGCATTACACCCTGTTTTCAAGCCCGGATGGTTCCATCAGAATTTCACAGATAGAACAGGATTATACAGGAGGCACTAAAGTTAGTGAATTATAGTGTGTTATGTTTACCTGACAGAGATAGTGACACCTCATCACAAAATAAATTATAGCTGCAAAAGCTGTAACCACAAGAGTAACTTTCCACCATAATGTCACTGAATAGCACCACGAGGAAGGCAAGTCTGCTAGGCTTAAGTCATTCAGGTGAAAAGCCCCAGCCTTCAAGCAGATGCAAGTACTACAGAACACAGCACGTTACATTTCTTTCTTAGTTTGATCACACCTTACTTTATTTTGTAGCACAACTTGTGGGCTCTAGATGTGCAACTGAGAATTCCCAAATGAGTTTGCTCATATCCAAGACATTGTTATTCTGGAGTATGTATCTTACTGCACCTCTGGCAATCAATTAAAAAATAATCAGGTATGAACAAAATGTTATTTCTGTTTCATATGTACAGCACACAGTTATGTGGACAGCACATATATTTGACTTCAATACACTTCAGTTACCTGACACATAAAGCAGCACAACTTGCTATTACTGCAAGTCCAGAACTAGAACCAAGAGTGATTCTGGGAGGCATGTCACTTTATGAAATGTAACTGGAGATGCTACAAGTTTCACTCCTCTGCACTAGGATCCATGCCACGGACCTTCCCCAAGCAGCTGAACAGCACAGAACAGCCCTGCTATGTACAGCAGCCAGTAAGAGAGAGATAATTCTAACTGCTTTTGCTTAATCACAGGCTAGCAGTGAAGTGTTGCCTTTGCATGCCACCATGCAGTATTATACTAACCAGAACAGTAAGTTTTAATTGAAAAACTTCCTGCTTTTGTCATTCTGGAACTGTGCTATGCTTACACTTTCCTCTAGCTCTTCTTCACTCTTCATTTCACAGGAGAAATCATGCAGGCACGCTGTCGTGGCTCAAGCCCAGCCGGCAACTTGGAACCACGCAGCCGCTCACTCACGCCCCCCCACCCTTTTCCCTCCTCCCCCCGCTCCCGGAGGGATGGGGAGGAGAATCGGAGGAATGTAACTCCCACGGGTTGAGATAACAGCTCTCCAGTAACTAAGGTATAATACAAACCACTACTGCTACCAA